AATTGTCCTTGTGCAAACTCAAATCCTAATTTGAGGTATCAGTGTGGAGGAAATGGCTTGACCTAGTCAATACTTATGCAAGCTTGAACTTTTGAAGATCTTTGTGAGAAATGTTTTGAGAAAAAAGAGGGTAAATTTTGGTGTACAACACTCCCCCTCAATCGGAAACTCTTTCATCCATATACACTTGTACAACTGTTGCAGACACTACAACAGGACACACCGCCTAACCACTACCATGTCAGGAAGACTTTCGATAGAAGGAGTCAATCTCTTAATTGAACCATCGACTTTGATACCAATGTTGAATCATCATGAAGAACATTCACATTGGTTCAAGAGCATCACACAAGAGAAAGAGACACCACATATTCACCCAAAATATTAAATTGATACGTGTATGAATTCTTTCACTTATAAAATGTTTAACTTCCATTTTTCTAAACAATGTGAGACTAACAACTCGTACTTACAAAAAATAATTTTTTCACTCATAATATACTTACTAAGGGTCCTATATTTAGAGTTTTGTATCAACCTCATTCTACGTGCTTAAAATCCAATTATAGCAGTCCACAATGAGACTTTTAACCAACCAACCACTGTTGACCACTTATATTGACTCTAGAAAAATTTGCTACTCCAATTTTTTTTTTAAATCAGGGCAAATATCATGCAACTTTTATATATATATATATATATATATATATATATATATATATATATATATATATATATATATATATATATATATATATATTAGGAAATTTATATATAATTGAAAAATACGGAGCACAAGTTATTAAATTGATCTATTTTAATTTTTAAAAGAAAGTCATCATGATATTATCAACATATCGTTATTTTCTAGTTGAATATATGTTGAATAAATGCACGTGAAACTGTGCATTAAATTCATAGACATACCCATATCCTTATAGCAGGATCTAAATTAGCAAATGGAGGACTTGCAAGACACCTTGTGATGAAAGTTTCTCAAAGTATTTTCACATGCATGCTACTAGCTAGCTACTCATTACAATGCTCAACTAGTAAAAATACCACTTGCAATATTTTTGTATTAGGAAAAAACATGAAAGTAAAATTATAAAACTCCTTCATGAAAAGTTGCATATCTCTTAATTTTCCTCTTTTTTGCATCTTGTCACTCTCTCCAAGTTAATGAGAATAAGATAGCTGCTACATCCAAATTTTTATATTTATATTCTTGTCCTTTTGTTGCTAATATGTTTCTTAATTTTGACCAGAATAACAAAAAAAAAAACACCCATGTTCTATGCTTCTTCTACTCTATAATTTATTAACAATAAGCTAGCTCTATATTATATATAATAAAGCATGGTCTTTTCCTTTTGGGTCCCAAACCATATGCTAGTTTCTTTGATGTAGCTAGCAACCTTACTCTTTACGCACTATGGCACGTGCAACACAGATTTTTGGTCACAAAAGAAATATATCATGACATGGAGATATCAGAAATGAGCACTTCATATGTAAGAACGTAATTGAACAGAGTCATCTTCTTGATTGGTGTGTGTCATCAGTGGTGGGACTCAGCTTTACAACTAATATTTGAGGAAAATGAAGAACAAAGGCAACATGAAAATATATAATTTTGAAAAGTGGGATGTGGTCAACTTTTTTTTCTTCTTTTTCATCTTATGATTATGATTATTATTTTTAAGTTGTGTAGCTGTCAAGTCTTGTATGAAGAAAGTGAGGGACCAACTTGGTTGGGTTTTTGAGTGACAGATTTGGTATCTAGATTTGAAAGCTTTAGTCTCACATTCAATGATGGCTTGTAGGAAATAAAATGATATACACTATAGTAGTATATTAATTGATATTTTTGCAACTACTTTACTTTGTTTATTTTTGCACATCAATTTAATGGAAGTGTAACAAATAAGAAGAAGACAAGTCATAAACGAGTGTGTTTGATTCAACTCTTGGAAGAGTTAAAAATAATTTTATTGGTGAATAATTGATTTTGAAATAATTTTAAGGTGTTTAATTCTTTTAAAATAAAATTGATTTAGGCTCAAGAGTTATTTTATTTAAAGATTTGTAGTTTTTTTAAATGTAATTTTTATATTGAAATTTATCGTTTAATTTATTTTAAATTTTTTTGAGCAATAACTAATTTTTCCAATTAAAATTCTCCAATAATCATATTTTTTCAAAAATTATCCAAATAATCAGATTTCGTTTTTAATTTAAGTGGTGATGCCATCTTATATGAAGCATGCACTCAAAAAGTAACTAAGACGCTATATTAGATGACGCATGCATAACCAAGACGACATATGAGATGACTTATACATGCAAGCTTTGTGAGGAGGCGTCATCTCATATGGCACATGAGTGTAAGTCTATTTCTTATAAATAACTCCTCCATTCCTCCACCATTCTTCACACCTCTTCTCACTTTCTCTCTAACTTTTTCTTCATTTCATCTAACATGATTTTCAAAAGAGATGGTTATGTTTGTTTCTTGGCTATCAAACTCCCTATTAAAATAAAAATTTAGAACATCCATTACACGGACCATCTTAAGTGGTCCTTGATCTGATGGTTAGACGAGGAGATCCAAGATGGTGAAGTTATTAGAAGAATTCAAAGACTTAGAACGACCACCTCACTTGCGACCGGAGAACCATATCGTTGGTAGGATGATGTAAAAAATGACAGGGAGGTAATGATGATGGTGCGTGAATCAGATGAAATTATTTTGACAATTGTAATTTCTTAGATATTTTGTCGTGTTAAGTAATTTTATTCGTTGTCTATGTTGTTTTAGTCTTGTTTGTGTTTTATTTGTTGTAATCAATCTGCTTAATGAATAAAAAAGTTCAGTTTATTTCTAAAAATAAATTATAAATAGTGCATACAATAATTATGTTGGGGAGCTTGTTGCACGGGTGAGACAATATTTTCTTGTGTCAGCCATATCCATTTTGGTTCTAAACGCGTGTTGTTCGGCCAATCCTTTTTCTTCCTTCGCAATATGTCGTTGTGCCAAACTACTTCCCCTTCATACGCAAACCAATAATCCTCTTTTGCTACCACTAGAAACCCGTTGCATACGCCAAGAAAGGTTTCAGCTTTGTAAATGGGAGATAATAGTGTTAATGCATCTCGATGAGCATATGAACATGCCATAATGATATGATCAAAAATGGAGATCCCCTTCATACATCTCTACCCTACTTCTCATGGAATCAGAAAGCAGTAAAGCCTTACTTATCATGATATCTATAAAAGCGGTAAAGAAATATGATAAAGTGCGGAAATGAGGAATAAAATGAAGCCACGATGATATCTAACAGAGAAGGTCCGTTGCCTCTTCAATGCCACGCAAGCAAAAATAAAACTCTATAGAAAATCTCCTTGAATTTCCTTGATGAAGGTTGCGCTTAGTTTACTTTGAATAACTTCTTGCACTCTTCAACAATCTCTTTTATTCAATAATATCACACCTAATTGCAATAACATTTTTCATATATTTTTATCAACAAAAATTATGACAAACAAGAAAAATAATAGGGAAAGAAATTTAAAATTCTAAGCAGAAGGGGTGCAGAGTTGAATCCAAGGATTACTTCAGCGAAGTGCAAAGCCCAATCTGCATGAGTCCAAAAAGAGCTTTTCAACATAAGTCTTGTTATACCAAAAACAGTCATTAATAGGCCCAGGGAATTTCAGTTCGGTCCAATACAACACAGCCCAATCCATTTTTAGTTATTATCCAACTTTTGTTTATTTTTATTAACAATATATTAAAATAAAAGAAAATGAAATAACAAAAAAAAAATGGAGAAAACGGTGCGTCTTATAGCTTGTGAGTTTAGGGTTGAGTTTTTGTCTGTTGGACTACAATCGTGAAAGAACTTCTTCCTTCTTCTCTGAAACACGAGCGACACCACTTCCTTTTTTCTCTAATCGATTCTTCCTCAGATCTCTAATCAAATGTATGATTAGCCTCAAATGATTTCTCAATCTCCCCCCTACTTCTCACAATTCTGTTTCACAAAGACCTCCAATTTCTGCTCGCACTGCCTACCAAGAATGAAACTTCCGATCAACAGTGGTCTGTGACGCCACAGGCGGAAGAGCCTCGTCGTTCTTTCCAGGCCGTGCCTAGCAGATAATGAGATAACGAAGTTCGATTCTTAACTCCTCTTTAGGTAAGCATTTTGTTTCTCTTTTCTTCTTCTACATTTTGTGATTCCGATTGTTCCACATCGAATGCGATTACCTATTTCAATTATTGTCATGTTCGTCATAGAGGAAATGATGAAGCTGGGAGTAAAGAAGGTTTTGAATCGTTGATGCAGAGAGAGGATTTGAAGAAGCCGTAATGATATGATGTGTGTGGTAAAAACGAATTGAAGATGTTGATCGATGGTTGTTGAAGAATGATTATGGTGAAATGTGATTCTAGAGAAGAATCATAGTGATTGAGGATGAAGGTTGTGATGTAGAGAGGAGAAGAATATCGTTGAAGGTGATGATTGAAGAAGGTTTAGAGAGATTTCTCAATTTGTTGGTTGTTGTTGGAGATTCTTGAAGTGTGGATGCTGATTATTGAGAAATGTTGATTGAAGATGATGAGAGCATCAGAGAGGGATTGAGAGGTGAGTTTTCTGATTTTTTGCTGTTATTTATGGTTTTCTTTGTGAATTTTCCGTGTGAATAATCGTTAATGAATCTCCTCCCTTTTCTATTTTTCCCGTTAGAACGTTAGAGGGTTGGTTAGAGGATAGAAAAATCTGTTAGAGAGTTTTTGAAGTTTCTGCTTTGGAAGTTGGAGTTCTGTTAGTTGGTTAAGTTCTATTAACAGTTAAGAAGGTTGGGAAACTATTAGAAGTCAGTTAGGGGTTATGAATCGAATTAGTTAGAGGGCTAGAAATTCTGTTAGGAGGTCGTTATGAAACATTTAGGATAGTAAGGAATTGGAAAATCGTTAGAAAATTCTGTCAGTTAGGAAGATTGGGAAATTGAAATTCTGTTGAGGATGAGGTTGTGGACAACTGGTTAACTATTTTTCTGTTATTGGCTGAACTGTAACTGTTAGTGATTAAGTTTTGCTTCCAAATTTTCTGTTTCCTGTTTCCTTTGTTCTGATTTAACTCCCTGAATTTCGCTATTCCTAATTTCTGAGTTTTGAACTCACGATTCCACCCTTTCTTTTTTCTGTAACAGGGGGCGGTTTGGGCTTGATGTACATTTTGAAAATAGAAGCATGAGGTTTTGATATTGTTACTTGTACTAACAGTTAAGTCTAGTTGCATAACTGTTAGTGAATGGACTGTTTTGGCCTGTTTAATGCATGTTTTCAAGCATGAAATTTTGCAAGGAAGACAATGACATGGTCGAGTACTCCTTTGGCTCAATTTAAGACTCGAAGAGAATGAAATTATGGAAGACTTTGAAGTATGAAGAAACAAGTTAGCATAGGTTTTAGTTTTAGGTCAAAACTTATGTAACTCTTTATGTGTATTTGTAATGTAGCATGAATGTACTGGATATGGATTGAATATGGTCATGTAGTGTAAGTTGTAAAGGAATCTTGTAATGAATGTGCATGGTGACTTGCCTTTGTAATGCCTTTTGAAAACTTTGTAGTGAGCTTTGAGATGAATGGAGGGACTTCACCTTTTCTCCATGACTTCTTCCAAAATGTATTTTTCGTTTCTATTAGTTTGTAATTTTAATGAATCATCATGGCTTTTTCTTATGTTTTGAAATTTGGACTCCAAACAATCGACGTGCATGAATTTTCTTTACTTGCACTATTAAATTAATCAACCATGCCAAGATGTCGTGGCTTTCCTTTTCTGAGAAACTCGTGATATTTAGTACCTTTTGTAAAAGGAATGCAATCTTGTGCATTCTCGAATCAATCCTCCATAAACCAAAACCTCGAATCATGCTAATTAATCACTTGATAACATTGAATTCATAGCCCACTTAAATGAACATCTCATCACAATGAATCCAAATCGAATTTAATTCTTAAAGAACAAAAACCTAAGCCAACTTGCCTTCTTGTTAAAATCCCTAACCTCAATCTCAAATCCATATTAAATTATTCTACAAGCAATAAGCAATTGAGAGGACAACAATGTCTTGATCATAAATCTCCCCTCTTCGTCTTTTGTACCATAACCCATATCTTTCTATCCTCAAAGATATCTTGACTCGGTAAGCACATAATGGGAATGCCTTAAGGAATCTGATTATTACCTTGGATGCACATTGATAATGAAGGTAACTTGAGGTGGCTGAGGAAATTCGGACCCTAGCTTACAAAGATCCTCAGTTAAACTAACATCATGCCCTGATTGTTGAAAAAACACCTTGAATCTCTTGAATGAAGACAAGAGCCTCAAAGTCATAAAGAAACCCTAAGTCTTCAATACCCTTGATCTCATGCTAAACCTATTAGTGATGCATGATTTATTGTATGACCTAATAGAAGTTATGTACATGAAAAAAAGTGCAAGATGCATAAGCCAGATGATCCTTATTGAAAAGGTAGGACAAATTTGAGGTATTACAGACACTATATTAGATGACGCATGCATAGCCAATATGATATATGAGATGACTTATACATGCAAGCTTTGCAAGGAGGCGCCATCTCATATGGCACATGAGTGTAAGTCTATTTTTTATAAATAACTCCTCCATTCCTCCACCATTCTTCACACCTTTTCTCACTTTCTCTCTAATTTTTCTTTGTTTCATCTAACATGATTTTCAAAAGAGATGGGTATGTTTGTTTCTTGGCTATCACACCCTTGATTAAAATGAAATTTTAGAACATCCATTACATGGACCATGTTAAGAGGTCCTTGATCTGATGGTTAGACAAGGAGATCCAAGATGGTGAAGTCATTAGAATAATTCAAAGACTTAGAACAACCACCTCACTTGTGAACGGAGAACCATGGCGTTGGTAGGATGATGTAAAAAATGATAGGGAGGTAATGATGGTGATGCATGGATCAGATGAAATTGTTTTTACAATTGTAATTTTTTAGATATTTTGTCGTGTTAAGTAATTTTATCCGTTGTATGTGTTATTGTTTTAGTCTTGTTTGCATTCGATTTGTGGTAATCAATCTACTTAATGAATAAAAAAGTTCAGTTCATTTCTAAAAATAAATTACTAAGACAGCATACAATAATTATGTTGGGGAGCTTGTTGCATGAGTGAGACAATATTTTCGTGTGTCGGCCATATCCATTTTGGTTCTAAACGCGTGTTGTTGGGACAATCCTTTTTCTTCCTTCACAATTTGTCCTTGTGGCAAACTACTTCCCCTTCATATGCATGCCAATAATCCTCTTTTGATACCACTGGAAACCCATTGTTGCATACGCCAAGAAAGGTTCTGGCTTTGTAAATGGGAGATAGTAGTGTTAATGCATCTCGATGAGCATATGAACATGCCACAATGACATGAGAGCAAGGCATATGAAAGGCTTGAAAATTTCCACAGTTGCACCAATGAGATGATAGTAAAACATTATACTCTTGTCTTGGCAGCCCCTCGTCGTGGTCAATTGTCTATTTGACAATGAACTTGTGATTATGACGGTTGAGTCTTATAACATGATGGGTGTTGCCTTTGGCAGTTTCTTCTTACATAAATTTCATGCAACTTTCACTCCACAATTGTCCTGATTGTAACAATACGCTCCATTTTCACCTCTTTTTGTGAACAACGAAGCATTCTTAAAATAGGTTGATCTCACAAAAGCAATTATGAGGAGGTTTCTTATGCCTTTGAAGACACCGTTCATTGATTCCACAAGATTTATTGTCATGCGGCCCTGTGGTACGGTGGGAGAACTGAGTTTGAGGTTTTGCGTTTGTGTTTGCAAATGTTGCGGTTAGCAAGAGTCGCCACTGACTTTTCTTTTATCCAATAAGGAAAGGTGAAAAAGCACAGGAAAGACCTTTCGAGATGTTTTCTTGAGTTCGGGGGGTAGATTATGAAAAGGGAAGGTATTATCACCCTTTTCATCCATGGTTTTCCATGGGCTCTTAGTTACTTGCTAGATCACTTGTTTTTGCTTTGAAATGGGGCTTTGTATGGTTTTTGAAAATATTTTGTAAAAGTGGCCATTTGTTTAGGCAATCTTTGTAATGATTCTCGTTCGTAAGAATGTATACAAAGATGTTTGTCTTTTTGAAAATGTTTTCAAGTTTGTAAAATGTTTGGAAATGTGTGTGTTTGTTTTGAAAATAGCAAGGATAGTTGTTTGGAAATAGAGCAAGTAACTAGAAGTAATCTACCTACTCAAACGTCTTTCTTGTTCATTTTCTATTCCTTTAACATTGTTGTCTTACCATTGATTTGGTAAGCAACCCTATCTTTGGATGTGAAAGGGACGGGCGTGGGTCATCTTATAACCATGATAGCAATGTTGTGAGATGACTTAGCATTTTTCTTTAGGGACTAAGATCATTTGGAAAGGCAAATTTGATAGCGTCATCGAGGGATTATGATCTTGTATTTTTTATTTGTTTGTGCTAAGACATCCCACATGCATAACATGGCCATTTTTGTAAGGCAACAAGTGGAATTACCCTAAGGGTGTAAGTGTGCAAATGTGTTTTATTTACATGCTTGTTTATCTTGAATTAGGGTTTTCTATTTGATTGATTTTTATCTTGCCATACACATCCTAATTACTAGCATTTACATTTCAAAACGATAAATTGCGGAAATGTAAAGTCCTACGCTATTACAATATTTAGGGGGTGGAGGTACAAATTTATGAATGGGGATTGCAAATGAAAATAAAGCCCTAAATTACTATTACAACCATATTGAAATACATACAAGAAAATATTAAATGAACTTGTTTTGTTTTAAGAAAATATTTTTTGTCTTTTGTTTTAAGAAATCAAAAATAAAGTGTAAAGAAATGTTTTTGATGTTTGCTGATTAATGAAATGGAGAGTGACATCGAAAATAAAATAAAAAGAAGAAAATAACAAGGGGAAGAAAAAAGAGAATCAGCGTGTTGCTAAAAAAAAAGAAGTCAGAGGTTCTGACCCTGGCGTACTGCAGAACATAAACCTGTTAGTGAAAATGTATAAGGTCAGAGGTTCTGACCCTGGCACGCTGCAAAACAGAAACCTGTTAGTGAAAATGTATGAGGTCAGAGGTTCTGACCCTGCTGGGAACACAGTAATTTTCAGAAGTTCTGATATCACTGATAACAAAATAGGCTTCAGAAGCACCGGTGCCAATGATAGAACTTGGTATCTCTATGCTAGTCAGAACATCTTCAATTTGGTTATTTTTCCACAAAACAGAATACATGCCTAGGACAGTTACAACAGGTGTCATAATGCTTCAGAAATAAGGAATATCATAACCATAAATCAGAGGCAAGTATGCCTTTGCTAATCCTAAATCTGAGTTTTAGTTTCTTCAAGAAAGTTCTGAATAGATTCATTCTCTATTTAAGCATACAAATGCGTGAAAATCTCATAATATGCACAACATCAGAAACATGATATCTACATTTTGTGTTTGAGCATGCAAATCTGGTGATGCTTAAGCAATGTGGTGAGAGTCAGTAGATCTTACCTTGCAGTTGGAAGAAGTTTTGTGAACCGGAGTTAGCCTCAACTCTGATGATGTTCTGAACAGCTTCTTTGCGTACTCAGTAAGCTGACAGTCTCTAATTTTTGGGGATGGCAAGGGGATGATGTTCTAACTTCTTTGAATGGATGGATGAAGAGTATATAGTAGTATGAATATAAGAGTTATGGCAGTTTCCAACGTGTGGGTCAGAAACTGTATGGGTGGTTTTTTAGTTAAGAAATATTTTGAGAACAAATGGAGCTTGAAAGCAGGGGATCCAAAGTTAATGGGTTTTTGTGTGCTGTGTTTACAGTTTTTGAAACTCTAGGAATTTTTGCAGAGATTCAAGGTTTTTTTTTCTTTGCTCAAACTTTTGACCTCTTTTCAGCAATTTTTTTGGACCTCTTCTCAGTGACCAATAGTGTTCTATTTATAGGCAAAGTTTTGTGGGTTTTAAAAATGTCAAGTGGCGCCAACATCATGCACTAGATGTTGACTTACTCTTGAAGAAAGTTCAAAAAAGTTGTGATAGTTGACAGTTTTTAGCCTAGGCTGGATTAGTAAGCAGGGATTAAGGAAAAGTGACACCCATAAGCGAAAAGTAGCGCATGGACCCATACCTAAATCTGTACAAAGGTATTTCCATGCTACACGTGGAGAGACCCTTTGGACAAAGACTC